AATCCTTGTCGGTCTGCTGGGCGGGGCAGGGGCCGCGTCCGCGCTGGGGATGCGACGTGGGCATCGGGTCTGGCGTCGGGTCGCGGTCGCGGTGCCGGGCGACGCGGAGCCGCGCCCGGGCGACGCGGAACCGCGCCTCGAGCGCCCCGGGGCGAGCGGGGCAGAGTTGCCAGCATGCTTCCGACTGGTGACGCGGCTGGCGCGCCAGACCTGCTGCGACCGTTGCCGCCAGGCCGGGATTTGTGCTGGGGCGCGTGCGGAGCTCGCAGAGAGGATGTTCTGCGCGAGTTGCAGTGGCTCTGCGGTGCTGCCCCCGCCCGGGGCATCTTTAACTAACCAGGGGGTGCGTACTTTGTGAATGCAGTCGCGCAGCTGTTATTTCGGGCGGGGCCGGGTCGGCGGCTTCTCGACGCGCGCGTGCACGGGGGCTGTGCGCGGGCGTCCGCCGCTACCCCGCGCGCGCTCTCGCGGCCCAGGCCGCCGCGCTGTCCGTGCAGGGCGGCGGGGCGGACCGAGTTGCCTCGCTTGCCGGAGCTGCGCGACGCGGGTTGTTCCACAGGGGCAAGTTCCAGTGGGGCCAGTGTGATGCGGCATCGTTTTCAGATTCGCCCTCGCTGCCCCGGGTGCAGCGGAGGTCCCGGTCTGTGCCGGGGATGGGTTGTTCGGGGAACGCTCTGCTGGGGGGCGGCGCATTTTTGGATATTTTCGCGCCGTGTAAGGTAATGCGAGCTCTGCAGGTTTATTCCGGATTCCGCAGAGATTCAAAACATGTTCGAAGGGGGCCCACAGGAGGTGCGTACTAATTGGGAAGACGCCGTCGACTTGCAGGCTCTGCTCTGGCGCCAGGTCCGGCGCGTCGCGCGCGTTGACGGCGCGCGCCCGCGCAATGCGCAACTCCCGGATGCAGAACGGGTCGCGCTGGGCGCGAGTCGTGGCAGGGCAGCCGCGCATGCGTTCTAGGGTCGCCTGCCGCCCGTGTTCTCTGTCACTGTGAAGCGCGCGCGCGGGGGGCACGACCTGGCCCATCAATGGCGCGACAGGCGGCGCTTTGTTTTTCCGCGGACTGGTGTCGGAGGAAGGAGGGTGCGAGTGCGAGTTTCTGGGGTCGTTATGCGTATGCATGGGAACGCTTTGCGACCGTCCGTGCATGGCGGGCATTGCACTGCGTTCGGGATGGTCGGCGACAATCAGTGCGCGTGCTTCGACGATAGCAGAGTTTTACTGCTGCCCTGGGCGGATTTTGCATTTTTACAAGGAGTTTCAACGCGGGGGGTATGTGTTTGCGCATGTTCGCTCGGCGGGCGTGCGGGCCGACGAAGTTGGGCTCGCGGGCGGCGACCCTGCTTCGAGTGCCTCTTGCGCGTCGCCTGCGCCGCGGAGCGCCCTGGCGGGCGCGGGTGGCGGCGCTCCTGCGGGTGATTCTGGCGAGCCATCAGGCCCTGGCAGCGCGGCAAGCGGGGGGGGGCGTCCTTGGAGGGCGAGCGCGGCACTGGCGCCGCGTCTTCTTCGCCGGGGCAGCCGCCGCCGCCTGTGCGCAGGGAGCAGAAGCGCAAGGCGTCTCTGCTGGCTGCGGCTGTAGATGACGGTGGCAGCATTCGCGCGGAAGCGGAGGCTTCGTCCGAGGTGCAGGAGCCTGGTGGAATCGATTCGCGCGCGGAGCCGCAGTGGCGGCGATTCACGCCGGCCAGAGTCGATCCGGCGAAGTGTGTGTGTGTGTGTGTGTGTGTGTGGCTCGCGCGCGGGGGCAGGGCGCTGGCGCGCAGCGCGGCTTTGCGCCCCCTGCGGGCCGCGAGGGGTTGCGTCGGAAACATTTCGCGCGGCGGGGGGCCGGGGCTGGCACGGGCGAGTGGGCGGGCCCATTCCCGATGCAAAGTTGCAAGAATCTCAGAGGGCGGCTGCTCGAGCGTGTCCGCGTGGCCCGCCTGAGGCCGACGTGCGCTCCAGTGCTCAGGCCTAACCTAACCCATCCATTGCCTAGCTCATCTGGTGCTATATTCATACAGTCGTCTAACTCATCTTGTGACTAATCATCCGGCGCTTCAACTCCAAACCCCGAACTCATCCAGCCCGGAAGACAGGGAGGAGGAGAGAAGGTGGAGGACGTGCAGGAGGGAGACAAATAGGTGAAAGGGAAAAGGGAGGAGGGGATCGAGGATGACATGGAAACGAGGAGGAAGACAAGAGGGAGGAGGACGACTGGGAACAGGCAGGAAAGCGAGGAATGCTGAGAAGAAGCGGCATACGCCAAGCGATCGGCAATAATGAGCACGCATGCGCAAAGCCCTCTCGGATTTCTCGCGTCGGCACCGGAACCTAAGAGCGGTCCAGCGCCAGCTCGAGGTTTCTGCGCGAGCCTCCGAAAGTTTATGCGTAGGCTGTTTCCGTTTTCTAGACCGAGTCAGTCGAAGAATTTCTGACATCACCCCATTGGCGCCCCCGCCAGAGACCTCACATTAAACGAGAAACGCCAATCTTATACGAAACCAGACTCATCGGGTGCCAAACTCATCCGGTGCCAAGCTCATCGGGTACCAGATTCATCCAATGCCAGGCTCATCGGGTGCCGAACTCATCCGGTGCCAAACTCATCCGTTGCCAAATTCATCCGGTGCGAATTTGATCCGGTACCAAATTCATCCAGTGCCAGACTCATCCGGTGCCAAATTCATCCGGTACCAAACTCATCCGGTAACAAGCTCATCCAGTCAAGGTTCATCCGAACCGCGGATTGGATGAGTCGGAGCTGATGAGTCGCCATCGGATGAATCAGCCAGTCTCCGTTTGTGCGTGTGCTTGTGAGGGTCGATGTGGTTATTATCGTGGCTGTCGTGGTGGCCGCCGTGGTGTGTTTGCACGTCGTGGGTGCGGCGTTGACACTGACGGCTGTCGTGGTGGCCGTCGTTGTGCGCTTGCTCGTGGGAGTCGCTGTCGCGGCTGTCGTGGTAGTCGTGGTGGCGTCGTCGTGGTGTTTTTGGTTGTGAGAGTCGCTGTCTTGGCCGTCGTGGTAGCTGTCGTGGTAGCTGTCGTGATGTGACTGCTCGTGGGGGTCGCTGTAGTAGCTGTCGTGGCTGTCGAGCTGATTGCCGTGGTGTGCTTGCCTGTCGTGGGTGCCGCGGTGGCGGTCGTAGCTGTCGTGGTGACCGTTGTGGCGCACTTGCTCTTGAGTGCCATTGTCGTGCTTGTGGTGGCTGTCGTGGTAGTCGTCGTGGCGTGCTTGCTGGTGCGAGTCCCTGTTGTGGCTGTTGTGGCTGTCGTGGTGGCCGTCGTTGTGCGCGTGCTCGTGAAGGTCACTGTTGTGGCTTTCGCGGCGACCGCCGTGGTGTGTTGCTTGTCGTGGATGCGGCTGTAGTTGTCGTGGCTGTCGTGGTTGCCGCCGTGGTGCGCTTGCTCGCGAGAGTCGCTGTAGAGGCTCTCGTGGCTGTCGCGGAGTTTGACATGGTGTGGGTGCTTGTGGAAGTCGTTGTCGTGGACGACGTGCCTGTTGTGAGGGCCGCCGTGGTGCGATTGCTTACCGTTGTGGCCGCCGTGGTGTGCTTGCTCGTGAGAGTCGCTATGGTCGCTGCCGTGGTGGTCGTAGCTGTCGTGTTGTCGTCGCTGGTGGAGCTTTGGAGATGTTGTAGTAGAGCGCATTGCTCGTTAAAGAGTTGTTAAAGTTGGTCGTAGTGCTCGCTGTAGAGCTGCTGCAGTCGGTCGCTGTGCTCGCTGTGTTGCTCTTGTGGTGCTGGTCGCAGTAGGTGTGCTGGTGGTGGTTGCTTGCTTCTGTCGTGTTGTGGTCGGCTATTGATGCTCGGCGCGTGTGCTGGTGGAGGCGGCGGCTGCCAAAGTCTGGGTAGCAAGAGTGGCCCAGGAAATACGCAAATTTCGTGCACGTGGTCGTCGCCGTGTTGCACTTGCGGCTGCAGGCCAGTCTTGAGTTGAGTAGTGATATGTTTGGTAAATTGGTGTGCGCGCACTATATGTGTACGGCGGTCGTGTTGTCTCCTTTTGGCCGAGCTGCTCTGGGACTGAACGTGGAGCTGCTGGAGTCGCTCGCCATTCTCGTTATGGTGGTGCTGGGGATGCTCGTAATGCTGGCCGTCATACTGCTGATGTCGGTGCTGGATGTGCGGGCGGTACTGGTGTTGATAGTTCTGTACGTCGTAGTGCTGAGGTCGAGTTTGAGATCGGTGCTTGACGTTGTAGTACTGAGCGTCATGGTGCTGGCCGTGGTACTGCTGAGGTCGGTGCTGGACGTTGTAGTGCTGGTAAATCTGGCTGTGCTGGTGGTACTGGTGGTCGTGCTGTTGTTGTCGAAGCTGGTCGTCGTTCTGCCGAGGTCGTTGCGGGGCGTCGTAGTGCTGGTAGTGATGGTAGTGTTGGTTCTGGTAGTGCTGGAAGCGTTGGTGATACTGGTTGTGCTGGTCTGGCTGTTGGTGCTGCTCGTGCCATCCGTGGTGCTGGTCGTACCCTCTATGATTGCTGAATTCCGGATTATGTTCACCATGATGCTTGTAGGTGTCATGAGTGTACCCTCCATTTTGGTAGAAGTACCTGTCGCACTCTCCATGCCATCCGTGTTGATTGACAGAACTGTCGTCGCAAGGTCGCCGATGAAGGCGTCTCATGGTCAATCAGCGGCAGTTCTGACGTCACGATTGATAAACGGAGGAACATGTAAGATGTAAGAAGTAAGTAAGTGCGTAGTAATAGGAGGGATGAGATGTATGGGAAAACAATACTGTCGCGGCTGGCCCCGTGATGGCGGGGCGCGCCGCCACGGCCTTCGCTACGCCGTGATTTCTCCTCCAACCTCCTCGTCCTCCTCCTTCTCTTTCTGCGCAAGCCGCCCTGGCTCGAGCGTCTTCGGGCTCGCACGGGCGACGGAGCGTGGGGGGCCCGCGAGCGAGTTTCCCAGCGCCGCGGAGCCGGCTCAGAGCGTCTCGCCTTCGCGGGCACCTCCCTCATGAACAGGCGCGCCCAGCAGGTGAACCGCGCCTCCTTCATGAACAGTCGCCTCTCTCATGAACAGGCGCGGTCTGCAGCGGCCGCCGCCGACGACGCAGGAGCGTCTTTTGCCGGAAAGGGCCTGGGCCCAGGGTTCTCTTTAAAATGGTTCCCCCAGTTTCGACGGCTGTTGGGCCAGCGTAATTATTGGCGATAGATAACGAGGTCGCGAAGGGCCGGCGAAGTTCTTTTTGAGGATGTCCCTAGCGAAACAGCTGTTGTATGTCAGTTTGTTGAGGATGTCCCAGGCGAAACGCTGGTCTTGCAGAGTTTGGGGATGCCTCGAGCGGGGGCCTCGTGGGGGGCCAGAATTCAGAGGATGTCTCAGGCTAAATGCTTGTTTTCACGTGCCCAGGCATCTAACATGGTTGTCCCTCGCTGACGCCCCAGACGACCGCATGTTGGATGCACCCCCTGGGTGGGGTGGAACCATGAGTTGTTACTCGTGCAGGCCATCAGGGGGGTATCTAACATGGCGTCCCGCCCAACGCCGAATTATCAGGATACGCACGGGGGGCCGAAACGCGTAACCCGAACACATATCCCAATACAGAAAAGTTATGATTTCTTGCATTGGACAGGGGTGGTGCTTTGAGGGCCTCTCCAGGGAAGACATTGCGAGGATGTCTCGAGCGCGAGCGCGAATTCAGCGTATCTAGGCCATGCAGGGGGGTATCTAACATGGTTGTCCCGAGCTGGAACCAAGTGTTTTTACGTGTCATTGTCACCCAGGGGGATATCTAACATGATTGTCCCGAGCGAGGACCACGTGTTTTTACGTGTCCAGGCCATTCAGGTGTGTATCTAACATGGTTTTCCCGAGCTGTGACCATGTGTTTTTACGTGTCCAGGCCACCCAGGGGGCTGGCACCAGGTGTTTTTACGTGTCCAGGCCACCCAGGGGGGTATCTAACATGGTTGTCCCGAGCAAGGACCACGTGTTTTAACGTGTCCAGGCAACCCAGGAGTGTATCTAAGATGGTTGGCCAGAGCTGGATCCAAGTGTTTGTACATTTTCAGGCCACCCAAGGGGGTATCTAACATGATTGTCCCGAACTGGAACCATGAGTTTTTTCAAGTGCAGGCCATCAGGGGGGTATCTAACATTGCGTCGGGCCCAACGCCGAATTATCAGGAAACGCACGGGGGGCCGAAAAGCGCTACCCGAACACATATCCTAATCCAGAACAGTTCTGTTTTCTTGCTCTGGGCAGGGGGTGGCGCTTTGGGGGCCTCTCCAGGGAAGACATTGCGATTCGAGCAAAACGCTTGTTTTGTGTTATATATTGTTCCTCTCCTGGGGACCAGAATCCAGAGGATGTCTCAGATCAAAGGCTTGTGTCACGTATGTTCTGTATTTGGATAAGTATTCGGGGAGCGCTTTTCGCTTCCCCCCGCAACCCAGGACGCCGAGAAGTTTGAAAACACTTGTGTTCCTAACGCCACATGGCGGGACAAGCCTGAAAACACATGGGCTCCTAACATCCCAGGGCGGGAGAAGCGTGAAAACACATGGTTCCTAACGCCACAGGGCGGGAAAAAGCGTGATATCACATGGATTTCTGACGCCCCAGGGCGGGAGAAGCGCAAAAACACACGGGCTCCTAACGCCCCAGGGGGCCCCAGGATGCCCCAGCACAGCTCTTCGGCACGGTACATCAAGATCGAAACACTCAGCATTGCATTTTGGCGCGTTCCTTGGCACGTTCCGTGGCGCGTCCGGTGGCGAGTTCCCATGGCACGTCGCGCGGCGCGTCCCCTGGCACGTCCCGTGGTACGTACGTTGGCACGTTCCGTAGCGCGTCCCCTTGGCACGTCCCGCGGTGCGTCCCAATGGCGAGTCTCTTGGCACGTCCCTTGGCGCGTCCCTTGGGACGTCTCGCGGCACGTCCTCTTGGCATGTCCCCCTGTCGATTAGCCCTGGGACAGCTACTATGTGCTCAGGCAGCTCGAGCTTAAGATCCAGACCAGTTCGGTCAGGATTCGGATGCAAAGGAGGACTCGATCCACAACGCTATAGAGCACAATCGCGGCATGGCACATCGCAGTTCGGCACGGCGCAGCATAGCACAGCCCTCGGCACGGTACATTCTAAAGAGCCCATTGTGTGGTCGCTTGGAGGGGGGACGGGGGGTGGTTGGAACCGGACGCCCCCTCCCCCTGGATGGAGGGGCGGGGGGGGGTTTCGACCCCCCCTCCTTCCCATGACGGAGGGGGGGGTTCGACCCCCCCCCTCCCTCCCCTCTCTCCTCGGGCTGGCGCCTGCGTCGGCGGCGGCTGGCGGCGGCGGCGGGGACGACGATTTCCTTGTCTGGGCCAGCGCCGGCGCCTGCGGCGGCGGGCGGCGGCGGCGGGGAGCGTCGACGAGGACGACGGTGGTGGTGGTGGTGGTGGTGGGTTGTGGTGGTGGTGGTGGCGGCGTGGTGGTGGTGGTGGTGGTGGTGTGGTGGTTTGTTGTGGTGGTAGTGGTTGTGGTGGTGGGTGGTGGTGGTGGTGGTGGTTTGGTGGTGGTGTGGTGGTGGTTTGTGGTGGTGGTGGTGGTGGGTTGTGGTGGTGGTGGTGGTTTGGTGGTGGTGTGGTGGTGGTTTTGGTGGTGGTGGTGGTGGAGGTGGTGGGTTGTAGTGGTGGCGGTGGTTTGTGGAGGTGGTGGTGGTGGTGGTGGTGATGGTGGTGGTGGCGGTGGTGGTGGTGGTGTGGTGGTGTGGTGGTTTGTGGTGGTGGTGGTGGTGGGTTGTGCTGCTGGTAGTGGTGGTGTTTGTGGCGGTGGTGGTGGTGGTGGTGGTGATGGTAGATTGTGATGGTGGTGGTGGTGGTGGTAGTGGTGGTGGGTTTTTGTGGTGGTGGTGATGGTGAGTTGTGGTTGTGGTGGTTGTGGTGGTGGTGGCTGTTGTGGTGGTGGTGGTGGTTGTGTGGTGGGTTGGTGGTGGTGGTGGTGGGTTGAGGCGGTGGTGGTTGTGGTAGTGGTGGTGGTGGTAGTTCTGGTAATCGTCGCTGCGCCCCCGCCGTCGCCAGCGCCAGCGCCGGCGCTGCTGGCCGCCGCCAGCGCCAGCGACGGCGCCAGGGGGGGGGGTTTGAAGCCCCCCCACTTGGGCTGCCTCTGGTCATCGTCGCTGCGTCCCCGCCGTCGGCGTTGCTGGCGGCCGCCAGCGCCGGCGCCAGCGCCAGCGCCAGCGCCGGGGGGGGGGGGTTCGGGAGGGGGGGGGGGGTTGGAGGGAGGGGAGTCCCCAGGGTTTTGATCGACGGCGCCGAGTGTTGGGGGGGGCCACCCCCTGGTTCGAATCGCGCCGCCGAATCTTCCCAAGACAAGTGCCCGTGAAACGCGCTCTTTCGGACATTAAGATCGATACACTCAACATTGCATTTGCCCGTCGCCCAATCAAGCGTCTTCGAAACGTTGCCATGCCGTACATTTCTATATTCTTTTCCGGTTTCGTGGGTCGATCATGGTTTATTGTTCGGACCATAGCGCGCGTTATGGCCCCCCGGCCCCCCTGTCGTAACGCTCTGGCCCCCAGTGCGCCCCCGTCACGGCCGCCGTGCGCAAAGGGATCCGCATAGGAATCCGAATAAGGAGCCCCATAGGCATCCGCACAGAAATCCGCATAGGGATCCGCATGGGGATCGCATGCAGATATCAATTGGGATCCGCATGGGCATCCGCATTGGGATTCCCAGGGATCTGTATTCCAGATCCGCATAAGGATCAGCATAAGGATCCGCATGGAGATCCGCGTGAGGATCCGCATTGGGATCCCCAGATGTATCCGCATAGGGATCCGCAGAGGGATTCGCACAGGGATCCGCATGGCAATCCGCGTAGGCATCCGCGTAGGAATCCGCGTAGGGTTCCGCGTAGGGTTCCGCGTAGGGATGCGCAGAGGAATCCGCATAGAGATCCGCATATGGGCGGTGGTCGCGGGCAAGTTCCGGTGTTCTCAGGCACTTGTGGTGTTAGTAGGAGAGAGAGAATAATGGGAGGAGAAGGGCGACGACGACAACGACGACGACGACGGCGACGAGGATGGAGGAGGGAGGTAAGAAACATACCTCTTATACGCCACGTGGAGACAATGACGCCTTTGCAGGCACGTGCTCGCCACAACTCGTCGTCGTTGTCGTCGTCGTAGCCGTCGTCGCTCGTCGTCGTCGTCGTCATCGTCGTTGTCGTCGCGCTTCGTTGTCGGTCGTCGTCGTCGTCGCTCGCTCTCGCCCGTCGTTGGAATACTTTCGAGGGAATCTGGAGGCCTTCTGATGTCCCCCGGAAGGCCTCTGGAGGCTTTCAGAAGCCTCATGAGGCCTCCGGAAGCCTCGGGAATCTTCCGGAGACCTCGGGGGCGTCGCTCGTCGTCCTCGCTGTCTTCGTCTTCGTCGTCGTCGTCGTCGTCGTCGTCGTCGTCGTCGTCGTCTTCGTCGTCGTCGTCGTCGTCGTCGTCGTCGTTAGCGTCGTCGTCGTCGTCGTCGTCGTCGTCGTCGTCGTCGTCGTCGTCGTCGTCGTGCGCGCGGACGCTGCGGTGGTGCCGGAACCGCGCGGCGGTGGTGCCCCCCCAGCCCCCCCCACAACGCTTGTTATCGCCGCGAATAAACAAACGCGCTCCAGGAACAAGGATCGCCCCGGAGGACGGCAGCCCAGCGCGAGAGCGCACCGCCTCCAGGCGATCTGGGCGCGGCTCTGGCTCAACGGCCTGCCCCTCGACGCGTGGAGCGCCGCAGGACGTTGTGCCGACCAGCACGAGCCCCACGTGCGCGGGGAGCAGCAGGCCAAGCTCGCCCGGCTCGGGCTCTCAGAGCCCGTGCGGCGTCCAGGAGGAGCTGCACCACCGACACTGGAGCAGCGGCAGCTTCAGCGCCGAGGACTCGGAGTCGACGGCTAGCGCGACCAGCGACCTGCGGCCCCAGCCAGAGCCGGATGACGACCAGCAGCCTGAGCCCCGCGGTCGCACTGCCAACAGGACGGTGCGGCGGCAGGAGCTGCGGGAGGCCGCGCAGCGCCGCCGCGCCGCGCAGCGGGAGGCACAGGCCCAGGACAGCAAGGCGGCCGCGCCGCCGGACGGCCCCGGCGGCGCCCCCGGTGGGGCGGAAGGCCCTCCGGGCGACGGCCGGGTGCCCCAGGGAGGTCGTCCAACAGCACCCAGCCGGCGTGCCGCTTCTAGCAACGGCGCCTCCTCCAGGTCGGGGCAGCCAGCGGGTCTCAGCGGCGACGCCCAGCAGCCGGCAGCGCGCGAGTGGTTCTCGCTGTAGTAGTCGCACCCTTCTCATTCTCGTCATGAGGTGCCCAGTCATGCGGCCCCTCGCGTCAAGGAGATTCTTCTCGCTTCGCGGGTCACGTTCCCAGCACGTGCAGTCCTGTCGTTGCGGGGACTGGAGGGAGCTTTTTTGGGGCCTCTTGGAGGCCTCTTGTGGGCTTCTTGGGTCCTCTTGGGGACTTCATGGGTTCTCTTGGGAGCTTCTTTTGGGGCCTCCGTGGGGCGTCTTGGGCCGTCTTGGGGCTCTCTTGCGCCGTTGCGGGCTGTGTCGCTGGGGCCTTCTGTGGAGCTCCCTGCGAAGCCACGAAACGTGTGAGGGGTGTGCCGAAACGGGGGTGTCGCCCACATGCGGGCTGCGCCAATGGGACCGTGCGTGGAGCTTCCTGTGGGGCCACGAACCGTGTGAGGGGTGTGCCGAAAGGGGGTGTCGCCCACATGCGGGCTGTGCCGCTGGGGCCCTGGGTGACTCTGAAGGAGGCTGGGGCAAAGGCGAGAGATAACGAGCGTTTGTCCGTGGCCGTTTGTGCTCAATCGGCTGACCGCCAACATATGTTTGTGCCTCATCGCGAGGCACGCTGCTTGCCATTGAAACCGAAAACATTTTCGCTTGACGTGGCCCGTCACTCCCGCGACGATCTCCTACTTCTGGGACTATCGTTGCTACGGTACAGCAGAGTTGGATATGGGCTTCGCCTTAGGCTTTGCGTATGGTTGGGCCTCCCAACCCCCTTCAAACTTGGTAGCGGAGCTGGCCTATGGTGGTCAGGCCTAGCTCTACTCCTCACCATCTACGGCGTTATCTGGTGGATAACTGACATGGTGGAACATCAGGGTGCAGTGGGTGTGTGCGGAGGAATGTACATACCTACGCACAACCGCAAGGACACTTGCAGTGTTACCTCCGTTCACGCGGAGGTCGCTCACATGAATCCTACCTCTCTGCGCTACTACACTCTTGAAATCCACCCTCCTACTCCACTTTGAAAGTTTTTTGAGAACACGATGCATGGCAACATGCGATGCGATACTGTGCCGCCTCCACTCCCACGCGGGCTAACGACGACGTCACATCATAATCCAGAGCCACAGACATCCAACCACGACCTAGAGGCCATTGGATTGGTATTACCGTATTTGGCCTTCAATGGGTCGCTATCGGATGTGCTGTTGGGCACGTGCAGCGTGGCGGAGACGATGCACGTGCCGCCGGCCCCCATTGGGGCCCTGCCGGTGATGCACCTTTCCGCGAATTTGCTCGCTAGGTACACGCCTGGATCAACGTGGCCTCAGGCACCATGACCCCCTCCCAACAGGCCGCGACACTTCAGCGTGGTCTGGGAGGGCTCGCAATGACCATGGCCATGGGAGTACCCCCCGTGGTCGCCACACCGACGGTGTCACCTGCATCGCGCTTCTCCTCGGCGCGAAGTTTGAACATCTAGAGGGGGAACGCCAACGTAATTCGGGAACGGCCCTAATCGACTTTCGCGTCCATGCGGGAGAGTGGATCGACCAGGCGCTAGCCCGCTTTGGGATTGCACGCTTTGAGGCCGGGACTTCTGGCATCAACATTCCCCAATTCCAGATTCTAGCAGTTCTCTTGTTCAGAGCTCTGGGTGCTGGTGCATCGCGTGCTCAGCAACTACTGCAGCCACTAAACCACCCAATTCCAAGGATCCAGTAGCAGTTTGACTCTCTGCTAGAGCGCATAGGTCGTATGCCCACATTGCCGAGCGAACCCCTGGCAACATTGGCGGTATATTTAGCCGCGGTCATCGCGCCGAAACCTTGCGTGCCGACATCAATGCAGGGCAACCTGCTAACAGCGTCTGGAATGGCGATCCACAGCCAACTGAGGCCACCACCTTAATAAGCCTACGCGGTGACCAGCCTACGGATCGCAAGACTCGTGGGCTCACTATCAGGGGCCGTCAACAACGGCGGCCCCTGCCCGAGCTATTGCCCTTGCAGGCTCTGCGGGGCAGCCCGCTGAATCCGAATTTGACTCTGGTGCCGACGCCGACGCCTCATCGTATGAGGAGACTGGTGCCCTGGACTGCTCCGACATGCCTGTGCATCACACTGAAGAGCAGCAGGCGCAGTGGTTATTCTTAGGATGCCAGGAACACGAGCGCCGATGGAGACGCTATATGAAGAAGAACCAGTCCGTGAGGTACGACGCGCGGCCCGACGGTTGTGAAAGGGTAAGGTTAGAGATCGAGGTCAGTTAGCATTCCTGGGCATCCCTTACGGGCTGCAATGCGAAGATATGTTCCTGGGGACAGGTAGAGGCCGTAGCCGCGCCTCAGGAAAAGGCGGGAGCGCCGGGGTGGCCCGAAAGACGCCGACGGGAAAACCGTGGAATGTGACATTTGCCATCGCACATGACATCTGCGTCGCGCACCCGCGGCGATGGGAGAGGCAGGGCTCCGTCAATGCATCTGGCTCGAATCGATTCCGACATCCAGTATGTCGATTGGGAGATGCTTCTCACCGAACCCGAAGACAACCCCACTGCCGCTGTCCACTTCGCGGCCGCGAGGTATCTGAGCGCCGGCGTGTCCCTCGAGAGATGCGCCGATGAGCTCTTCGAGGAGATCTACGATGGCCGCGGCGAGATCACCCTGGCGGACTGGTTGGGCATGCCTATTGCGGGGCAACCTGTGCATGTAGAGAGTTCGTCGAGAATTGCGGTGTGCTCGCCGATTCGGATCGCGAAATGGCGGGGGCACCTGCGGAATCTGATGCTCCAACTGATGCTCCGACCGCAGGTCATAGGGGGCCCTGCGTGCGGGGGACCATGCGACGACGATCCTTTGCGGGGTAACCCGCGTAATGCTGGTGACCTCTCCGAGCGTATCCAATGCGAACTCGAACGTGGCGAAGGCTCTTGCTTCGCGTTCGCGCTGCGCGACCGGTCTACAAGCCGCCCAGTCTGGAGGCGATTATATCGCACTGATGATGACGATGAAGAGTGGGAAGCTGAGAGCCATCATCCACGACATCATGGGCGGAGTCGCTCGCGCGGGCATTCGCGCGCCCGTTCCTGTGGCGCGCAGTGCCCGCGAACGCCTGATCGGGGGGTTCCGAGAACTCCACCCAGAAGGGAGCGTTCGCGGGGAAACCCGCCTCAGGGCGGCGATCGCCCAGGTGGGCCCGAAGGCCCGCGCCCGCGCCGACTTTTCAGGCGCGAGGGCCGTGGGCTTGCCCGCCAACGTGTCTAGCGGACATGCAGTATTGGCCTGGCCGAGGTTTCAGCGAGCACGCCGTCCGTCACTGGTAATCATTGCGCCGGGTGTCGCGGGATGATCGCGGCAAAGTCGCCCGCGCCAGCAGAAGTTGTGGCGCTGAGTCAGCCGCCGCGTTGGAGAAGAGGGGCGCCGCGGGGGCCATCGCGAAGGATCGACTAGAGTATCGAGGACAGGTCTGCGGCTGCGAACATATTGCGGACTGCAGACCAGAATGTCCGATGGGGCGCCCCTCCAAGGAGCCCTAACTGTGAGCAGGCTCCGTGGGTCTGGTCTCGTGGAAACGGCGTAGGGCGCAGGGCAGATCCGACCTGTGATCCTAGTGAAATATGCATGACCAAAGATGATTACCAGCCGCTCACTGGAAATGAAGTGAAACGCGCTGAGCAACAGTGGAAGGACCTCGATGGAGATCGCCGCCTCTCGCGATTCAATCGAGGATGTCGGGGGGCTATGTTCGCGGCGTCATCTGCGGGGCAGCCCGCTTCTTCCTCTCGCGAAGGGGCCAGCAAATCCAATGTTGACAAAAAGGGTGACAATCTTGTCCTTGCTCCAGCATTTGACCCTGCTGATCCTGCCCCGGATTCGGAGTGCACTTTCTCGACTCACGGCAGCGAGTCAACGAATGCAGCAGTATACATTTCCTCTAAGGTAACGGAGGACATGTACGTTGCACCAGGTACGGCAGTTACGTGCAATAGTAGAGGGATTGGTTGCGTGACCTGCGTGGTACTCCGCGAATTGCGCGACGGGCGATGTGAGTTGGACTGTAAAAGCGGGGCTAAGATTAAGAACGCGGCGCTCTTCAAGCCGAAGGGCAAGCCTCCGCAAGACAGACCGTCATCCCAGGATGCGGGGGCACTTGCCGCATCCCCTAGCGCGGGGGCGCCCGCTGAGAGACCGACCGAGGCCCTGAAGCCCCCGCAGAAAAAGAAGCTCGGCGAGAAGAAAGTTGTTTCGTCTCGATATCAAGCTCAATAAAGGCAGTGCCACCAGCTACAGAGCCACCCAATCAGAACGAGAGAACCGGCAGCAGAGGCCGACCCTGGAATCAATCAATCACAAAGAGCTGCGGGGAAACCTGCCCGCGGACTCCGGGGGGCCAGCAGTGGCTGCCGCGGCGTCAGCGTTCCGTTCCAGGGCGGCAGCGCGCCCGAGCCGATGGAACCTGTGGCCTGTCGTGGCCCTGCACTTGGTAGGCTCCATAGGGGGGCTGGCTGGGCGCCATCAGGGGGAGGTGCATCCAGGGCCCGCCCCTCGCAGCCAGATGAAGACGACGCAGCGACCCAGACTGCGTCAAAGGCATCAGGAGCAGCTCCGAAGATATCCGGATGCCAGTTCTCTGATTTCCGCGACAAAGAGAAGTGGGCATCTGGGAGT